TCTGCAAGTGTACATGAACGTCAACATCCCAGCCCCACCCCACCCCACCCCATGTCTGACGTAGCATCAACATCATGTCCACGTCGACACACACTTGAACATCAAAACGCACAAAAAAGTGAAGAATTTGCCACGGCCCCGAAACAGTCGGGCACCAACTACTTGCAGCCTTGTTATAGCATTCACTGCGCAGAGGTGTTGGAAGCTAAGGTCGGCCCTATCATAAACCTGTGTGGTATTGCCACAGTGTTTAGAGCATAGAACAATGGAGGGGACAGCAGCAGCCACCTCAAAGGACCAAAGACAAGGGCTAACACGGCAACACTCCAAAAATGTGCCAAACAATGGCATGCGCAAGTCTCCAGCACCCCGCAAAAAATATGGCCAATCAGGAACAAGCAGCAAAGACACTGAATTGAAAGCCTTCAAAAGTTAGATGGCTCGCTTTGGTTCCGCAAGTGCCCTGCGTGGAAGCGATCTACGTTGACAAAAAGGAAGCGCTTCACACCTGCTTCAAGATCAACAGGAGCAAACAATGAAAGGATATGTGCAACAAGTTATCAAAGAGACTTAGACGACGTGCAATATGTGATCTGCAAATGCAATGGGCGACCCTTTACATAGTTAGTTTTCGTGGCAGGCGCAGTGCAAGAGTGCAGATTTGGTGGTGCTGGAGGGGGGTTGGGGGGGAGGGCGCAGCGCCTCCCCCCAAAGCGAACCAAACGTTAAAACACAGCACCACAAAAGAAATCACTAGAAACTATGTACCCTATCGTCCTTTCAGTGAAGGGCATCTAAAAGTGCACAAAAGGACCTAAGGCAACCGAAGCCAAAAGCATTGTACGTTTGCAGGAAAACTGCTGCCAATAAGCTACAAGAGAAAGGACCAAACGCATAAAAAAGCATCAGTGAAAGAACAAGGAGAAAACCATAGGACACCCGCAGACCAAAGAACCAGGAGGGCAAAGGACCAGGAGACCACGGGACCGGACCAGGACCAAAGGACCAGGGGACCCAAAGGACCAGTGGACCAGCGGACTAAAGGAGAGGACCCGCAGATGACAGGGCCAGGAGAGCAGCAAAAAAAGGCCTATCCTGTAATATTACCTGTTTGATCCTCTTTCTATGGTTGTTTGATCATCTTGCTATTTCTTTTTGACGCTTTTTTTTAATTTGTTTTTGATCGTTCGATGTCCGGAGACCACACGGTGTTTCGTTCGAACCACCGGAACCCGGGACCTCGTTGTTTTCTGCTCTAAAAAGACCATGCTGTGCGCATGTAAAATTTAAAACTTTGAGGCTCAAAAACCACATATATATATATATATATTATTATTATATATATATACAAAAACATGTAGTTGTTTCATGCTCAAGGCACCATTGGGTCCACAAAGACTGCAGTATTCCTTCTGGTTCTCTCTGTTCTCCTGCAACCAGCTGCAGCAATAATTCCAGATCGATGGCGGGGAGCTTGCGCAAGCGGTTTCTGTTTCGCGCTTCAGACTTTGGTCGCCAGAAGCGTTCACTCCCCTTGCCCCTTCCCACAAAAGTAAGAGGGTGGCCACCTGGTACCCAATGGATGTTGGTCACACACACACACACACGCACTCAATCCCAGCAAGTCATCTCAATGATCCTCCATCACCTTCTCAGAGGGCATGTGGATCCCAAAGTGTATCAACCTGCATCCACCAGTTCATCAACCCGACCATGTGCCACCTCAAAGACTTCTCTCGCCCCTCGCCAAGGCTTTTGATCCGATCTTCTTATAAAAACCTATAGAGCTTGACCACCTAAAACAGACCATACACCCCCCAAAAACATAGCTTCCTTTTGGCTATCACAACAAAGGTCAAAGGGGTTCCAGGTGTATACATATGTTGTTCCGGTTTTTGCCCAGCCATGACAAAGAAGAGCCAAGCCCTTCGGCCAAGACAGACATCTCTCCTGCAGCGCCCGCAGAAATTGGTCGACGAACTGCGCGGCCTTCCCCGCGCGCGACGGCGCAATGCCCCGACGCGAGGGCAAAGCCATCGGAGTGCTCCAGTGGTGCGAGAGTGGCGGCAAGCCTTACGGGGGTGGGACGAAGGGGTTGCAGCTGAGAGCTGGGTCGTTGCACTTGCAGATTTTGTGGTGATTTGTGCTGTGAAATGAAGTTGAAGGGCACTGGGTGTTATAGTGTGGTGGGTACACATGTTGTTGTAGTGCGGTGGGTACAAATCTTGGTAGATTTGATGTGCTTCGTTGTGCTTCTTGTCGTGAGTGTTTGTTTTCAATGAAATGTCACAAAGTGGGCTGCACTCTTCTGGTTTGTTGGCTTTTTGTGTGCTTTGCTAGACTTGTTTGGTCAGCTTATAACTCCTTCCATTGCTCTCACAAATTGATGATCTGGGTTCACGGTTCGCATCCAAGCTTCCATTAGCAAGCTTGGATCCCATCTGTTTTTTTGCGTGCAGACCGCGGTCTGAGCTTGAAACAGCAGGCAAACACAAGGCGCATTGTCTTGTGGCCCTTCCGGCATCAGCTGTGACGGACATGACACATCACTATCCCTTAAAGCCTTGTGGTGAGTTCGAGGTCTTGCAGGAATTCTGTTGTGAGTCTTTCTAATCTAATGGCCCGCAACTACCACTGCTACTTTAATATATACCACTGCTGTGCACAACTATGATGCAACCATTGTGTTCAAGAATGCAGCAAGATGCATTTGTACCAAAGAAATGAGACTCTCAAGAGTCTAAAATAGACCCGCAAGGGTTTACCATCTTTTAAAGATATCTACAGTATCCTTAGGTACCTTCAGGTCGAATGCCACCACTCAGAAAACCGGCCACCAGCTAGTCAAGCGAATGCCTAGCCTATAGAGGTCAAGCCAAGTACTCCAAGCAAAACCCAACATAAACACAAAGAAATACATTGCCCACGATCCCATGACATAGTAGTTGCAAAAGATTGCAACAGAATGCAAAAGATTGCAACTTGTGATGTCAAGTATATCAGCAGCAAGTATATACCTTTTCTCTTTAAACTCCTGGCACCTCCTATAACTAAAGGTGCTGTTGTTGCTCCGAAAACACCAACGACCAAGATCGTGGACACTCGAGTCGTCGTGTTGACACTCGTCGACCGTTTGGGGGGGATCGTCACGGCGACTCAAGCGATGGGACCGGTGATGGTCGACACGAACCGCATGAAACAACCCAAGTGATGGTGACCTGGTGCATTCTAACGTCCTATAGACGGTGAAGATGACATCTGGCAACCTGGTAAGCATGTCAGTGTAGGTAGGTGGGCATCTGAGCTTCAGTTGTAGGTAGGTGTCACACCGGAAGACTTCGGATGGTGAATCCCGAGCTGAATCGGATGGTTGAGCTGAGCTCAGCTGTTTGGACCAGTTCCTCAGAGTCAGTTCCACCTCTCCACCAACCTTTCTCAGTGCCAAGCCCAACTGATTCAGCATGTCCAGAATCCCTGTGGAGTCCTCGGTCGACCAGTTACCGACTCTTGATACAGCATCAGGTGGTGATAAATCATGTGGACAAAATGATCAGGAGATTTTGGGGGAAGACCGTTTTCTAGAGCTCACAACTTCAGAAGTGTCTATATATTGTGTCTTCCTGTACTGCACGTGACCAAACGACCCAAACAGCCCAAAGGCATTCCTACTCCAAACACCAAACACTCCTTGGGACTGGCATATTTACCGCATTGGGTTGGTTTTCAGGGTCAATCTAAGCATATATATATATACTTGTTCCATACATGGAGTGCTTGGGTACTGAGCTCCGTGACTGGACAGCTGGCAGCTGAGCATGTTCCAAGTCTCGAGGTGAAATCCCGAACACCGTTTTAGCGCCTCCACTGACACGCAGTGGGGAGGTAGACAGCCCAAAACAGAAAACAGAACTGACTCAAGCAGTTCATTTTCGTATACTCGGTACATTGATCAGTCATTGACAGGCATGGTGCATTGTCTGACCTGTACTAGTGCTGGAGTCCTCCTCAAATCCCTGTCCTCCACAGGCTTTGGGGTGAGCCTTTGGCATCCTCAGAGCTCGGAACGACCTCTAAAAGGTTCAAACAGGGTTTGGCCTATCCTCTTGGGTTCTGGACTTCCATCTAATGACTTGGCTGCTACTTGTCCAAAGGCCAAGGCCGACCGAAGCCGTTTCACCGCATCCGCTCAACTCTGTCGAACGGTGCAGAAAATCACCGTTCGAGCAAACCTGTTTGCAGTCCAGGACTCCTAAAATTCCTGGAATCATGGCTACTTCCACAGCC